AAAAGGAAAAAAATAATAATAATGATTTCGCGACGAACACTGCGTCTTCGCGTGCACGTTCTGCTCGGAGCTGGTAAGATGGAACACACAGATGGAACACACAGACTGCTGCGCTGCATCTATATCTATGTAACCTTATCATCTATCAGTTCCAACCCTAACCAGTACAAACATCTCTGGCCCCAGAAGGGCAATTTTATTTACCAGATCCTTCGCGTACAGAGGTTGATGTGCCTACGCGTGCGGGGGAATAGTTCCTCCGCACGCTGGCGTGCCTCTGAACATTTCTCTAATCGAATTTTTAGCTTTGAATTAATCTCCAATTTCTCTCTTTATATAATATTTCTCTCCAATTCAAGGTAATTTTTGTTATTTTTATATCAATTGTATCTTCTTTGTCTGTTATCGAATTTCCTTTAGCAGAAACAAATTATTGCTCGATTGATCTGGTTTGATTGCCGATGTTGAGATCTGAAATATGTTTGTGGAAATAGATAGGCGTTTTAACCTTTTGTTTGGATTTATATTGAACGAAAGGGTTCGATTGAGGGACTTTTATTTTAACAGCTTTATACGATTCCGATCTACTATTTAATAGAATAATCTGTTCGATCTGTCGTCTGTAGTTACAGATCTGCTCTTTCTTGACGTAGATTGAAGTTTACTCTGTGGAAAAATGACTCTTTGATTTTGAGTTTTGTATAAGTTAATGGTGGTGATGTTTGAGATTCGGATATGTACTCATGACTTTCTCCCTATGTCTGATACATTATGGAGCACGAGAACTTATCACCATGTCATTTGACATCGTTTCAGTTTATGCAATGCATTTGTTGAGGTAAAGGGAAACGAAGTGGGTGATAGGCAGCGGGTTGTTGTTGGGCGACGAAGTAGTGGAATGTCTAGCAGGCAGCGGTGGTGATATGGTTGTAGAAGGCAGATGCCGGAGAGGGGTGAACGGAGAAGAGACTGTGGCCTGTGGAAGTTGTAGGCAGTATGGATAGTGGCCTGTGGAAATTGTGGGTTGGGTTATTGGCTTATTGGGCTTATTAAGTGTGTGTGTGTGTGTGTGTGTGTGTCAGTTTATGTGGCTGGGTTAATTTGGTAGGAATTAGGATTTTATTTTGTGCAGTTTTGTTGATGGAACTCTTCAAATTCTGGAATTAGTTTTAGTTTCCAAAGACGTGAAATCGTTGGTGGAAGTGAGATCGGCGTTGACAGAGTCCATGAGAGATGAATCGCTCCAACTCCTTCAAGCAATTTCAGAAAAATCTGTTGACTATAAGCTTCTATGAACTGATTTTCTGCTTCGTGTTTTCG